AAAAACTTCCGCCAATCCTTCTTCCCAGGAAAAGATTTAAAGAAGCGCCTAGCTCTTCCAATCCACAAGCGCAAGGCTCCCCTGTTACTGAATTTTATTCCGACATACAAATCCACACTACCCGACATCCCAAAAAGAAAAAAGAATAGCCTATCTCCTCCCTCTGCTACCATTCTACAAACAGCATCAACATCTCGGGCTGACCAAGAGTCAACCTCTGATCCAGCCGACCAACCATCAACTTCTGGTCCATACCTAATCCCAATACCAGAAAGAAAACGTCGGCGAAGACTCGTAAAAACTACCGAGATGGGTCGCCCAAAGCCTATTGCCCAAGATCTCCTAGCCGACCTTCCTACGGATGTTGACGCTCAACCGCCGCAAACCATGCCCCCACCAAAGCCGAAGAGAATTAAAAAGGCGCAGCCCAAGGCCAAACCTACTGAGGTTGAGGCTGAGGACGCTCTGCCCATCTCACACTTGGCTGAGAGTAAAAGAACTGCTTCTACTTCTACAAAAAGGTCTGCTGAGGCCCAGCCATTGGAATCCACCCAATCAAAGAAGCCGAGGTCATCGTCTGCGACGACCTCGGTTTCCAAAGTACCAAAAGTCCCTTGGAGACCAGAAATTACTCTGGAAGATAAGCCAGTCCTAGCCAGCGACAGTGCCGATGACATAAACGTCGGCGTGGCCCTAAGTACTGCTCTACTCCTCCCAAGCAATCTTGAGCGAAACGCCAAGATGAGTGAGTATGAGAATTACGCCTTTATGCTGCAACACTCTGTCCAAGTAAGTGCCTTTGTGTTGAAATTTGTTTTCTCTCTTAATTTGTAAAGGTTTGTAACAATTTGTGCCTTATGTCCTTTCAGGCCATCCAACATGCCCACTCCTTCTCCATGCAAGCTTTCAAAACAAGGGAGAAGTTGGCCGACATGAAGAAGGAGGTTTCTGCTCTCAAAAAGGAGAACAAAGCTGTTCTGATAAAGATAAAGAAGCTGGAAGATCAGGCCGAGGCTGCCACTAAGGCCCAACAGATGGCCGAAGAAAAAGCGGAGTCTGCTGAAGCCATCAAAAAAGTTGCCGAGGCTGAGAAGAGAGATGCCGAGGTAAAAAAGGCTCAAGCCAAAAAAGAGCTCGAGGAGGCCCTGGCCACTAAAAACGCCGAAATTACTAAAGCCGATGAAAAAGCTTACGCCCAAGGAATGGCCGATGTTGCTGAGGATTACAAACTGCAAGTTAGGCAGGCATGCAACAGGGGCTTTTCCCTTGGTTGGATGTCCCTGGCCAAAAGGCTCAATGTTCTTGAAGATTCCCCTCTGCTCAAGGCTGAAGCTATTCCTCTCCCATTTCCTCATCCTGCTCCATCTTCAAGTCAAGCTGAAGATGAGTCAGAATCTGAGGCTGAGGATGAAAATAACAATGAAGATGAGGCCTTGGTGAGGAAATCCAAGGATGCTACTGAGGCCAAGTCCCTTCCTCCAACTGAGCAAGTCATGGACTTAACCTTAGATGAAGAGGGTGATGAGGTTGGGGAGGCGTCTATGGAAGCTGTTATAGGGCAATTATCATCCGACCTTCTCTTAGCTGAAAGAAGTCTTGATAAAACGCTTGCGGAGATTGATGCCGAGCTGGCTGCAGAGAAGGCTGCCGAAGTAGTTCTCCAGGAATCTGTCGAGGTCCAGACCCAAATTGCTCCTGAAACTAAAGAATCATAACTTGGATGTCTTCCGTACTCTTTTTGTTTCTTTGGATAATATAAGCTTTTCTGTACTTCTGGTTTTGAAACAATGTAAGTTCTTCTAGTTAGCTGATATATCTTCTGCTTCTGTTGGATACAACTTTATTTCTGGTAGGCCGTAGTGCCTTCCTTGTATACAACTGCAACTGCTTTAATCTTTAATTTCTCTTGATTGCGTTTGTATGATTCTATACTTGGAATATTTTGCATGCCTTTCCATTTTGCTTCATTTGTGCAATCTTCTCGGGGTTACATACCTCGGGTATAATAACGTTTTACTTCGGCAAGATACAGACCTGCAAACTCTTCATAAATTCCAAGAAGTGTTTAACATATACTATTTAATGTTAACTTTGCAAGCTTCTTCTCAAGTTTCAATAAGTATTTAAACAGTGATCTCGGTCTAACCTACTTGTAAATTGCTATAAATTTCAACAAGTGTTAACATATACTGTAAATTTTTCTCAAGTTATAACAATGATCAACTTGTAAATTGCTACAAATAACAAGAGTTTAAACAATATACTTAGCTTTTACTTCAACCTCAAAATTGCTGTAAATTTCAACAGATGATCACATGTTGGCTTAACATTATCTTGTAAATTGCTACAAATTTCAACAAGTGTTAAGCATCTTCTTTGGTTGGATCAACCTGTAGATTGCTATAAGTTGCAGATTATAACCTCGGCTTCACTTCGACTTGTAAATTGCTACAAATTTTAACAAATGAAGAGAAACAGTAATCTCGGCTTAACTTTAACTTGTAAATTGCTACAAATTTCAACAAATGAAGATAAGGAATCAGCTTAACTCCAACTTGTAAATTACTACAAATTTCAACAAGTGAAGATAACGAATCAGCTTAATTCTAACTTGTAAATTGTTACAAATTTCAACAAGTGAATTAAGGAATAATCTCAGCTTAACTTCGACTTGTAAATTGCTACAAATTTCAACAAGTGAAGAGAAACAGTAATCTCGGCTTAACTTTAACTTGTAAATTGCTACAAATTCCAACAAGTGAAGATAAGGAATCAGCTTAACTCCAACTTGTAAATTGATACAAATTTCAACAAGTGAAAATAAAGAATCAGCTTAACTTCAACTTGTAAATTACTACAAATTTCAACAAGCATCATGCATTACTTTTGTTTAACTTTAACTTGTAAATTGCTACAAAATCTCTACTCAAATCTCCCAACCAAACACAATATTAGAATTCCAAAATTAGAACTCTTAATTCTTATTATTTAAAAAAAAATACTAGTGACGAGATGATTATTGCTAGATCGGGAATATTTAGAAAATATTATTTGAGTTCGTTTAGAAAGTAGGTTGACTTTTTGACTTTTTGGCTATTTTAACATGGGACTAAAAGTCTCGTTTTGGAAGGATTTTTGACTTTTTTTGTGAGAGAAAGAATATAATGATTATGATTTAGATGTAATATTTTGCCTGTTAACATAAATTTCAGAACATGGTGTGCACTTTTGTTTTGAAAATATCAATCTTAATTTTTTATGAAATTACTATGGAATTTTTTTTATTTATTGATTTCTGTTTTTTTTTTCCTTAAAGGGAAATGAGCAGTGTTTCAAGAATACCATTAAGAAGGTGAATCGTGCTTTTAGATAGTTTCATTGAGCTTGCAAATCTAACTATAGCTAAACCTTGTAAAATTTAGGGGGTGTTTTGGAAACTTCATAAAAAGTGAATTTTTTAGTTTTTTTAGGCCATCTTCAACGGTTCACCAAATCTAATATCAAATTCAAATTTGATGAAAAAAAGTTACTTTTTATGCTTCAACGGTTGCACCAAAACAGTATCAAATTGAGAAAACATCAAACGTTTCACCAAACTAAGGACGGGTTGCTCCTTTCACCAATTCACTGTGCATAGCCGTTAAAGCAGAAATTTGTGAAAATTTTACACATGGTGGTCGACCCCCAAGTCAACCAACCAGTCGACCAACTCATGCAAATGGTTCAACAATTGGCCTGCGAACTGGTTTAAACGGTTCAAATTACTGGTTCAAACGGTTCAAAAAAATTTTGAACCAATGGTTAGGTAGGTTCAAACAGTTCAAAAAGGAGTAAAAAAAAAAAAAAATTTGCCTTACTGGTCGACCAACCGGTTGACCCACGGGATGATTCTTCTTTTTGATATTTTGTAAAGTAATCTGTTGCCACCAGCAAGTATTTTCTCTGCCCAGTTGCCTGGGGAAGTTTCCCAACCAGATCCATGCCCCATTAGGCAAACGGCCAAGGGCTGGACACTGGGTTTAGGTCAGCAGCTGGCTGATGTATCAAAGGTGCGAACTTTTGGCATTGTTCACACATCTTTACGTAGGCTTCAGCATCCTTTTGCATGTAGGGCCACCAATACCCCTGGGTAATGGCCCTGTGGGCTAATGATCTGCCCCCAGCATGGCTTCCACAGATTCCTTCATGAATTTCATATAGGAAATCTTCAACCTGCAAAGGGTGTACGCACCTTAAAAGTGGTCCAGTGAAGGACCTTCTGTAGAGATGTCCATCTTCTGTCAGATTGAATCTTGCAGATTTCATTCTGACTCTGTGTGCCTCCTTACGATCTTCTGGCAGCTTTCCTTCTTTTAGGAATGCAACAATTGCATCCATCCAGCTTGGCCCCATGTCCACATACATTGCTTGTTGCTCTGTGCTCTTTGGTTCTATGCTCGGGCCCGACATTTAGTCGATCATAATTGTCCTTGTTTTTCCCGTCTGTATTGAACTTGCCAGGTTAGCCAACGCGTCGGCGTGGGTGTTGTCATCTCGGCTAACATGGAGTAGTCGGCAGTTCTGAAATAGGGCTGCCAATCTAATGACCTTTTTTGCATATGCCGACATCCTTTCGTCTCTGGCTGTAAATTCACCTATTGACTGGTTAACAATAAGTTGCGAATCACAAAAAACTATTACCTCATCTGCTTCTGCTGCTGCTGCCAGTTTTAGCCCTGCAATTATTGCTTCGTATTCTGCTTCATTGTTTGAGGCCTTGAACCCCAAACGGATGGACTGTTCTATTATTTCTCCATCTGGAGATATCAGCAGTACTCCTGCCCCTGCTCCTTGTCGGTTCGAACTCCCATCGACGAACAGTCTGAATGAGTCGCCGATGTAGATGCTGCATGGTTTGAGCTTTTCTTTCCTTTGATCTTTTGCGTTTGGCTGGGATTCTCCTTGCTCGTTGGGACAATGCTCATCCTGGCTCAATGGAGCCCGATGTTCGATGGTTTCAGGCATGAATTCTGCCACGAAGTCGGCTAAAACTTGGCCTTTAATTGCCGTTCTTGGCCTGAACTCCAGGTCATACTGACCCAGGGCTATTGCCCATCTTGCTATCCTTCCTGTTAAGTCTTCTTGTTGCAACAAGGACTTTAGTGGATGCTCTGTTAGGACCACAATCTTGTGCGCCTGAAAGTAATGGTTCAACTTCTTTGAAGCCATTACTAAGGCTAGCATTAATTTCTCCAGTGGTAGATACCTTGTTTCTGCGCTGGCCAAGGTTTTGCTTACATAGTAGACCGCCTTTTGCTCCCCTTTTTCTTCTTGGATTAGTACTGCACTTACTGCGTGTTCTGAAACTGCCACGTACAAAAACAGTTCTTCCCCTAGTTCTGGATTGGAAAGAACCGGAGTTGTGGTCAAGTACTTCTTTAGGTCGGTTAGAGCGGCTTCGCATTCTTCTGTCCACAAAAAGTTTGTGGCTTTTTTCACCAAGTTGAAGAAGGGTCTGCATTTATCTGAGCTTCTGCTGATGAATCTGTTTAGGGCTGCGGCCCTTCCAGTAAGCATCTGAACCTGTTTTGCCGACGTCGGGCTCTGCAGCTCTAGGATGGCCTTGATTTGGTCTGGGCTGGCCTCAATGCCCTTTCTCGTTACCAGATATCCTAAAAACTTACCTGATCCAACTCCAAACGCGCACTTTGATGCGTTGAGTCGGAGCCGGTATGTTTTGAGTATATTAAAGACCTCTTTTAGGTCGGCAAGATGACCCTTAGATTCCTTGGTCTTCACGACCATGTCATCGTTGTAGACTTCTACCGTTTTTCCAATCAGGTGCTTGAACATTTTTGTTACTAACCTTTAGTAAGTTGCTCCTGCGTTTTTCAACCCAAAAGGCATTACCTTGTAACAGTACAGGCCTTTAGGAGTGATGAACGCGGTTTTCTCCTCGTCTGGAGGGTACATGGCAATCTGGTGGTACCCCCTGTATGCGTCCAGAAAACTCATTCTTTCATGCCCTAAAGTAGCGTCTACGAGCTGGTCAATCTTAGGCAGAGGAAAGCTGTCTTTGGGGCAAGCTTTGTTGAGGCTGGTAAAGTCTACACAAACCCTCCATTTGCCGTTCTTCTTCTTCACCACCACTGTGTTAGATAGCCAAGTTGGGTAGTGAACTTCTTGGATGGCCCTGGCCTCCAGAAGTCTATCTACTTCTTCTTCTACTGCTTCGACGTGCATTGACGTCGGTCTTCTGGTTCGTTGAATCACAGGTTTTGCCGACCTGTCGACATTCAGTCTGTGGCAAGTGACCTCGGGGTCAATGCCAGGCATCTCGTAAGGTGTCTAAGCGAACACCTCAATGTTGGCTCTCAAAAAATCTTCCAGTTCTCTTTCCTCTTCTTCGGCTAAGCCTGAGCCGAGAAGAAAGAAGCGTTCTTCGTCGCCCTCCTAGACAAGGATTTTCTTTAGTGTCTCTTCACT